TTCTTTCTTTTAAACTCCCTCTTCTTCTTCCCTCTTTTCTCTTATATTTTCTCTTCTTCTTCTCTCCCCTTAGGGTCTCCTTTTCGTGGCAATCGCTCCCCTATTTGGCAATTGCCGATTTATCACATTTCTGTCTATGGCCGAAACTTACCTATTCTTCGCCTTGCGTCGAATTAGTCTCAGGTGCATGCCGGGATTTTTGGTGACTCTGCCGCGTCGGCCTCTTCATCGCCGTAAAATGGCTTCAGCTCACTCATATGTGCTGTTCTCCTCTTACCGTTTTGTACCTTGTCTAATTCGACGATTACTGGCGAAACGAAATTCATCTCTCGGTACGGCCCAGCATACTTCGGTGCAAGTTTTGCCGCGAAGTTTTCCGTCGCCTTCGATAGGTGATGCTCCTTCACCAGCACTCGGTCACGTACCCCTGGTTGCCATTTCCTCCTGCGCAAGTTGTAATGACGCGCTTGCTCGATCGACGCTGTCTGCTGATTTCGCCTTACCATCTCAACTATCTCTCGCATTTTCGTCCCGTTCGCCTCTGGTGTCGTCGTCGTTCGGCCGGTACCGAAAGTTTGTTCGTCGTAGAGGGCTTTTGGTACTCGCGGCTCGCATCCTTGCACTAAGAAGGCAGGACTGTAGCCGGTGGCTTCGCAAACACTGGTATTAGGCGCTAGTGTCATTTCGGGTAGTAAGTCGTCCCAATTTCGCTGTTCTTTTCCGGTAAACTGTGCAAGCATTCTCTTTATGTTGCGGTTTGCCCTCTCCGTCGGATTTTCTTGTGGCGTGTATGGTGCGGTGAGTTGATGCTTAACCCCGTACTCTCGTAGTGGCCGTTCGAACTCTCTGCTGGTGAACTGTATTCCATTGTCTGTTATTACAATTTTCGGGACTCCAAATCTAGCGAGTACGCGTTCTCGAAACGCTTTGTTGAGGCCTTCAGCTGTCGCCTTCCGTAGAGGCACAATTTCTACCCATTTGGAAAACTTGTCGATAAAGACTAGTACGGTTGTGTTTCCGTGCTTTGATCGTGGCAATGGTCCCACAAAGTCTGCGCATACTGTGGCCCAAGGTTCTTCTGCGATGTGGGTTAGCATCTTTCCCGCAGCTTTCTGTTGGCTGGGTTTGTAAGTCTGGCAGGTAGTATACTGTCGGACATACCTCTTTATGTCCCTGAACATTCCGGGCCAGTAGTAACGTGCCGTCGCTCTCGTTATCGTCTTGCGGATGCCCATGTGTCCTGCGCTGGGACTATCGTGAACTTCCTTCAGTACTCCCTCACGTAGTGGCGCTGCCACGCATAGCTTCCACGGTACTGTGTCTTCATCATCCATCTAGACTGCGATGTGGCGATATAGTTCGTTGTTTACAATTGTGTAGTCCGGGAACTTTTCTGGTGTCCTCTTCACCTCTGCCATTTTCTCGACCAGCCACTTGCAGGCCGTTGCCTCTTTATCCTGCACTAATATGTTGAGCTGTACGTCTTGGGGTTGTCGTGACAGTGCATCGGCAACGACGTTCAACTTACCCTTGCGGTACTTTACATCGAATGTATGTTGCTGGAGTTCTAGTGCCCATCTTGCAATGCGTCCTGAGGGACTCTTGATCGCATTCAGCCATTTCAAGGACAGGTGGTCGGTAATAACCGTGAATACGTAACCCTCCAGGTACGGTCTCATTTTCCGTATAGCCCACACAATGGCCAGACACTCCTTTTCAGTCGCCGAGTAGTTTTGCTCTGCTTTGTTCAGCCGTCGACTAGCGTAGGCTATGACTCGCTCTGCGCCATCTAACTCCTGTGTCAGTACTGCACCTAGTCCAAAATCGCTGGCATCGGTTTGTAGCGTGAAATGGTGGGAAAATCGGGACAGGCTAATACCGGTGCTTCCGTTAGTGCGCTCCTTAATTTTTCAAAGGCCGTCTGCTGTTCATTGCCCCATTTCCATCGGCTTCTTTTCTTCAGTAATGACGTCAGAGGGAGTGCAATATGCGAGAAATCCGGAGCAAATCGCCGATACCATGACGCCACGCCCAGAAAGCGCCGTAACTCGCGTGTGTTTGTTGGCGGTGCCAATTGTTTAATCGCCGCAATCTTGTCAGGTTCGGTGTGAATCCCTTCTTCGCTCACCACATTACCCAGGTATTTCAAACTCCTTTTGAAAAACTCACACTTCTCTCGGTTGATCTTGAGGTTCGCCTGTCGCAATCGTCGAAACACTTCTTTCAGGTGTTCCTTGTGCTGGTCTAGCGTCGCACTCGTGATAATAAGATCGTCCAGATAAGCAAACGCGTGCGGTTCCAATTCGGGTCCGATGACTTTGTCCAGTGCTCGTTGAAACGTCGAAGGCGCAGAATGTAGCCCGAACGGCATTACGCGCTACTGAAACAGGCCACGTCCTGGCGCAGTGAACGCAGTATACTCCTTACTACTCTCTTCCATTGGGATTTACCAGTACCCATTCTTCAAGTCCAAGCTGCTAATGAATTTAGCGCTTCTCAGTCGATCCAAAATGTGTTGGATTCGTGGGAGTGGGTATGCATCCGGTACCGAGCGCGCATTAAGTTGCCGATAGTCCACGCACTTCCGTATTTCTTCTTTACGAGCACGATTGGCGCGCTGTGTGGGCTGTGCGACGGCTCGATGCACTGCTTATCTATCAACTCGTCGATCTCCCTGTTTATTACCTCCTGCATTTTCGGGTGTTGCCGATATTTACAAAGTGGACTGTAACTATGGAGTGGCGTTGATTACACCGAGACAATGCAAACACAAGTTCACTGCTTGGCTGATAATACGGAACTGAATTTATTGTAACAGACTAGAAAGGGAGAAATAAACAGAGTACTTCATATAAAAGACAGTGATGTTAACATGGAACATTTAATGGGGATAACGTTGAATAATACATAACTTTAGACATATCATAAAACCAGAACATTCTCCCGCCTGTTAAGAGACACCTTAACCCTCAGTAGGAAGCTTGCATAATTTAGTAACAGGGCGCTTTATCGACCCATGAGATGTCTTAATTGTTGCTACGCGCACCAAATTGTCTTTGCCCGGGTGCACATCAGTTTACTCGACCCATTTGCCAGCACGATGGTGGAGCACGTTCTTCATAAACCAGGACAACTGCTCCAGGCTTTAGATTTTGTTTTCCTTTATACCACTTGGCTCGCTGATGTAGTGTAGTGAGATATTCACGCTACCAGCGATGCCAAAATTCTTGTTGCAAACGCGTGAGAAGCTGCCATCGAGAGATTCGATTCATTTGAACGTGTTCGAGCCCAGGTTCAGGTACTTGTACCAGTGGTTGGCCAATTAAAAAATTACCCGGTGTTAAAACATTGATATTGTCAACGACCTCATCATAAAGAACTGTGAGAGACCGAGAATTGAGTTGTGCCTCGATTTCACAAAGTAAGGTAGCAAATTCTTCGTAAGTGAGCCTAGTTTCGCCTAAAACACGTCGGAGGTGAAATTTCGTTGCTTTAACTGCGGACTCCCAAATTCCGCCGAAATGTGGTGCACCTGGTGGGATTAGATGCCAGTTGATGAATGAAGTGGCCATATATGACCCGACATCTCGAGATTTGGACATCTGTTTGAAACTCTTCATTAGTTCGCGGTCGGCGCCAATAAAGTTTGTGCCATTATCGCTGTGCATATCGGATGGCAAACCTCTGCGGGAGACAAATCTTTTTAGAGCTGCTATGAAAGCGTCTGTAGTCAGATCTGAGACAACTTTAAGATGCGTTGCGCGTGTAGCAAGGCAGACAAAAACAGCGATATAACCTTTGATTGGAGCAGCATTGCGACCTTTGTGAGCCTTCATCAAAAAAGGGCCAGCATAGTCGACGCCAGTGCGAAGAAATGGTCGCGCTTGAGTAACGCGGCTGGGGGGAAGATCTGCCATCTGCTGAGAGCAAGTCACAGCACGGTAGCGGGTGCAAACTACACACTTGTTTATTTGTTGCTTGACTAAACGGCGGCAGGAGGTGATCCAAAACTGTTGGCGTAAAATATTTAGTAATGTTGGACCTGCGTGAAGATTTGTTAGATGCTGAGAGACAATGATTCGCTGAGCTAGAATGCTGTCCTTTGACACGTTGATTGGATGTTTAGTTTCGACGTCACAGTGTGCATTCCTTAGTCTGCCGCCGACTCGGAGAATTGACGTTGAATCGATGAATGGAGAAAGCTTAGCAATTGAACTTTTAGTAGAAAGTTGTTTGTGCCTTGATAGTTGTTGTATCTCTTCGGAATAGTATTGCGCTTGAGACCACCGCACGCAATGCATGAGAGCCTTATAAATTTCTGCTGCAGTATAGCTCCTTGGAAAGGTAGTGTTGGTCTCGCGCCTTCTTTGGACAACACGATTCCACGCCGAAATTGTAAAAAGTACCTTGTTTAGTGTCGAGTAACGATTAAAAAGTAAATTGATGACATCAATCTGCTCAGTGGTCAGGAAAGCGAAGCAAGTATTTTTCCGTTCCTCAGCCGCAACTTGGCTGTTCATATAAGGTGCATTGTGAATGGAGCGCGGCCAGGTTTGCTGTGGCTGAGCAAGTCAAATGGGCCCGCGCTACCAAAGATTGCAATTCAAGAGCGTTTCTGGCTCCAGGCCACGAGTAGCCACATCTGCTGGATTGTCTGCTAATACCACGTGTTGCCATGATGGGCGAGGGATGGATTCGATAATTTCGGCAACCCTGTTGGCAACATATGTTTTCCAGCGCCGTGGATGTGAAGATAGCCAGCCGAGTACAATCATCGAGTCTGTCCAAGCTTTGCATTCAATATCGCGGAGCTCCATTGCGCCTTTGACCGCCTTGAAAAGTTTTGCAAGTAACAACGCGCCCGCCAGTTCTAATCTGGGAAGAGACTTCTGCTTCAGTGGAGCAACCTTTGTTTTGGCAGTGAGCAGGAACACCTTGGCGCCCTCAGCTGTTGGAATGCGGCAGTATACTGCAGCTGCATGGGCCATCTGTGAAGCATATTAGAAACCACAAAGCTGGAATTTATCTCTGGGGCTAGTGTGTACCCATCGCGGAATTCGGAGCGAGTTGAAGCAAGCATAGTTCTGCCGAAATGTAAGCCAGCTCTGCGATAACGCGACGGGAATATCGTCGTAGATTTTGGACGACTCCGATAGGATAACTCTTTTGGTGCAGGCATTGACGACTGGCGCGACTTTGAAGGTAAAACAGTCCTTGAGTGGTTGCCATTGCAGGCCTAGAATCTTCAGACTGCTCTCGGTATCAATTTCAGCTATGTCCACATCAGACGTTTGCATATCAACATTTTGAATTATGCTGAGATCATTTGAAACCCATTTTGAGAGCGGGAAACCCCTAATAGCAAGCGTCTTGGTGATGTCTGCTTTTAAGTTGATGGCTTCTTCTACGCTGGTTGCGCCTGCAATGAGATCGTCAACATAAAAGTTATTTTTGATCATAAAACCTGTTTGAGGCTCATCAGCATCTTTGCCCGTAGCGTAGAGGCAGCGTGTGGCAAGGAATGGCGCGGTAGCTGTTCCATAGGTGACAGTGCGGAGTCTATAGTGTGATATTGGTTGAGCAGCGCTAGTTCTCCACAGGATGCGTTGATAGTCCCTGTCGTCATGGTGAACAAGGACTTGTCGGTACATTTTGACAATGTCGCCACAGAGGCCGATACGATATCGTCTGAAGTTCAGCAATAACGATGTTAAATCACGCTGGATGGTAGGGCCCACTGCAAGTAAATCGTTCAGAGCTGCACCTGAAGCTGATTTGGCGGATCCATTGAATACCACTCTGCATTTAGTTGATCTGCTATCAGGCTTTAAAACTGGATGGTGCGGTAGATAGAAAACCTTTTCACAGCTCTTGTTGACCTCAGAGGCAGGGATTTTTTCCATATGTCCCAATGCAATGTATTCCTCCATGAAGGCCTTGTATTGATTGAAAAGAGATTCATCGCGTTCAAAGCGCCTTTCAAGACTTGCAAACTGCTTGCGAGCCGAAGTGTAAGAGTCACCTAGGCGCGGTGAATCATCTCGGAAAGGGAGTTTTACAATATACCGACCAGCATCATCGTAGCCATGCGTTTTTTGGAAATGATTCTCGCAAAACTGTTCTTCCGGAGTATAAAGTTTTCTCAGCACTTGCGGCTCGTTCTCTGTTTCCCAAAAGCGACGTGATGCTTGATCAACTTTGAAGTCATTAATTGAGGCAGTGACAGAGTATGAACAGATATCTTCCCCGCCGTTATGCACTTTGCCAGCAAGTACATAACCAAAGATAATATTTTGGATGGTTGAAAAGCCTGTGCTGGTAAATTTTCCATCAGTAAGAAAGTCGAAGAAATGTTGTGGGCCAATGAGAACATCTATTGGCTGAGAGATAAGCGAACCGTCGTCTGCCATGTTCAGGTTTGGTGGAAAACTGCAATGAGACATATTGACCGGATCTGACTTATCTTGGTGTGAAATGCGATTCAGAATAAAAGCATCAATGTTGACTGACACGTTGCTGTCGAAACGTGATGTGAGCTGCAGTGATACGATACCTCTTGTAATAACTGATTTTGCTTCTCCAATTCCACCAACCTTGATGCGCCCGTTTCTACGCGAGAGCCGCAATCGTTGGACTATATCTTCAGATACAAATGTTCCCATTGATGCTGAGTCCATCAGCGCCTTGCAGACCGTCGCTCCGGTGGTATTGGTGTTTGAAGCTTTCACGACCGCTGTAGGAAGCGCAACCCTTTGATTCACCATATTACTTTGTATTGAAAATGTGGATAAGGGAGGCTGACTGTTTGATGTTTCACCTCTAGAGGGGGCATCTATGTGAAGGCATGAATGATGTTGTCGTCCACATAGGTGGCATTTTTGCTTAGAGGTGCAATTGCTGACTCTGTGCTCTCCGGAGAGGCAATTGTAGCACAAGTTATGATTCTTCACGAATTCTCGCTTTTGAGTTACACCCAGCGATTGGAATTTAGGACACTTGTAAAGATGATGCGCACCATCGCAGCTGGCGCACGTTGCAGGTGTTTGATTAGAATCTGTTGCTATGAAACAGCGAGCACGAAAAGAAGTCGAAGCGCCGCTCTTATACGATTGCATGCACTCAAGAGCTGACCATCTTTTGTTTAAAAATTCTATAAATTCTTCGGTTTTTGGATGATCCTTGGACCGTTTGTCGCTTTCTGCCCATTGGCGTTTTGTGTCATCATCCAACTTTTTTAATAGCATGTATATTATCCAGGGATCTCGGCTTTCTGCATCTGCTCCTAACGATTTCAGCCCTCTCAAGATGCAGTCTGTGTTATCAGCTAGCGTGCGGATTGCCACAGCTGACGGCTCAACTACGCTTGTGAGCTCGAAAAAAGATTTTATGTAGGAGATGATTATGGGTTTTTGCTTGTCATACCTCTTGTTATTAAATAAGAGAAGTCGACATATTAATATTGCATTGGCTTTATTCAACAGGGTATTAATTTTCGCTTGCATTCTTTTATGCGTAGCGTGCACTTTATGCCTTTTATTGTTTTCTTATAGCCAAATAATTTGGCATGTGTCAAGTTACATATAAGACATTGTTGATTAATGCACGCAAATGAAAGTAGACGCAAAATGTGGAATATGCTTATGTCAACAAAAACGTGGGAATAAAGCATTTGCATTAATTATGCTTATGTAAAGCAAAACGTGAGAATAAAGCCTTTACAATAATTTTGCTTACTGTCCAAAGTTTTTATGCCCTTATTATTTAGCTACGTAAGCATTTAGTTTGTATAAAAACGTAATCATTAATTCAATAAAGATCACTTGAAAGCAATCAAGCAAACAACAGTGTTCGAACTTGGCGTAATCGCTATTATTCTGAACATTCTGGTGCCCCTGTGAAAGGACATTCAGCTTAAACAAGGCCAGTGCAGCAGTTTAAGGAGCCACAAAACTAATCTAAAAGAAGAAAAATGGATCGTTTCGAGGATTTGGCCAGACAACAAAGAGAAACGGGCGGCAATATCGAATCAATTGTCCGAAACTTTAAAAAGGACCCGCAATCCAGGAAGCAGTCAATCAGCTATTACGAAGAGCGATTAAGAAGACTGGACAGCGAGTGGTCGAAGTTTGAAACAACTGACAACAAACTTCGACTGCTTAAAAACCCCCAGCTGGATCACGACTACTTTACAAAGGACTACTATAACAATATAATGGAAATTGTAAATCAGTACAAGGAGATTTTCGAGTCCGCAGTGCTCCAATTGGCTCAAAACCCGACGAGAGAATTGCGCTTAACAACTAATGAAGGAAGTACGTACCAACATGATGCTTCAGCTTCAAAAGTCAACACAGAAGCACGGCATGATACTGGAACCACACAGGCAGCTTCCAACGAGTACACGAAACTAGTCCGCAGACAAGGGGTAATGATGGCCTCGTTGCGACGGTTACTGAACGACATCGTTTCACCACAATGTGTTCCAACAATAAACTGTGGGAAAATATAGAAGACATTCACTTCAGGATATATGAGATGTTCGACAACCCAACCGAGCAGGGCTACAAGGTCGATAACTTCATTTCACTTGAGGAAAAGGTATGGAGTACTTTGCAAGCAGCTAATAGTGACTCCCATACTGAGCAATCTTCAAACCAACTTCCGATTAAACTGCAATCCATTTCACTGCCGAAGATAATAATTCCAAAATTCGATGGCACCTATTTAAAATGGCAAGAATTTTATGACCTATTCTCGCAACTGGTAATAAATCAACCTCTTTCAAAAGTTCAGAAAATGTGGTACTTGAAAACTCACCTAGTGGGGGAGGCTGGAAATTTAATTAAACATTTCGCATCAACAGGAGAGAATTTTGATGCAGCTTGGTTCATGCTTCTGGAGCGTTACAACAACAAACGCTTGCTGGTGAGCAAGTTAGTACATGAGCTAACTACTACACCTGGAAGCACATCAATGGACAATGTCAAAAAACTGCATGACACAACACAAGAATGTCTATTAGCATTGCAAAATTTGCAGATAGACACATCAACATGGGATCCACTTCTGCTCCCCCTTCTACTAAAGAAACTGGATCAACCGACTCGTTTGCGGTACGAACAATCATTATCAAAGCCACGGGAGGTACAAACACTCAAGGAATTCCTGCAATTTCTGGAGAAACACTTTTAATCCATGGAAGCGATGGGTGTCAAAGACAAATCTACAAGCTCAACTGCAAAGGTGTGCACTTCAGTCACATCCAAAGGTCATAGAAATGACACTTGCAGCATGTGCAAAAAGGGAAAACATCCATTATTTTCTTGCAAGGAATTTTTACAACAGTCTCCATCGGCACGCTTTCAGTTCATAAAAGGGCAGAAATATTGCCACAATTGCCTAAAACCAGGACATGGTTCTAAAAATTGTATATTAAGAAACTGTCTGAAATGCAACAAAAAACACAACACGCTGTTACATTTCGATGATTCAAAAAGGGATGTGAGCAAAGACATTACATCAGTAGCCACTCCAACACAAGGCAACGAATCGCAAAGTACTACACCATCCAGGACCAAATCAACGCCATCAAAAGACGAAGCAGCGTCACTTACCACCGCAAAGCACACAAAGTCAAACACGTATGTACTACTCAGCACTGCCATGGTGAAAGTTAGAGGAATCGGAACAGAAGTGCAGTGTCGGCCAATTCTCGATTCAGGCTCACAAGTTAATTTTGTGACTGAACGATTGGTTAAACGTCTTGGCATCTCAACTAAACCATCATCAATCTCCATTAGTGGCATCGGGTCAAGGAGCACTAAGATACAGCATCGAGTCAATGTGGCGCTACAGTCTCGGATCAACAACTTTACAACGCGGCTAGAGGCAGCGGTATTGCCTCAGATTATATCCCCGCAGCCGTCGCAAGAAATCAAGATCGACGAATGGCAAATTCCTGAGAACATCATGTTAGCCGATCCATCATTCAATCGTCCTGACAAAATTGATATATTGTTGGGGGCGGAATTCTACAACCAACTCATGGCAGCAGGGCAAATCAAACTGTCAGATGACCTACCCATTCTGCAAAATACAGTGCTGGGATGGACCATCGCGGGAAAAGTTGGTGGCAACTACATCTCAAATGCAATATGTGGAATCTGTACCAACGATGACATCAACTTAGATGCAGCCATTGCTCGATTATGGGAACTTGAGGACGTGGCAACTGTAAGAAAACAACATTCGGTAGCAGAAAAACAGTGCGAAGCTCATTTCGCACAACATACACTCATCAATGAAAATGGGAGATTCATGGTAAGGCTACCATTTCATGAAAATCCGGAGGCCTTAGGGGAATCCTATGGGATGGCGTATAATCGATTCCTGGCCTTAGAACGTCGACTGGCAAAATCGCTCCAGACAAAGAATCAATATGTACAATTTATGGAGGAATATGAGAACTTGGGGCACATGACGCAAGTGGATATTGATTCCATCAGTAAACCTAGGTACTTCATTCCTCACCATTGCATTGTGAGACCCGAAAGCCGCACTACAAAATCGTCCACTGGCATGTCTTTGAATGACCTCATGTATACCGGGCCCACTGTTCAGAGCGAGCTTTTCACCATTTTACTTCGCTTCCGTTTGCCCAGGTTCGTCTTCACCACAGATGTAGAAAAAATGTATCGACAGATGCTCATTCAACCGGACGAACGCAAATTCCAACTTATCATCTGGCGAAAGGATTCAAGCCTACCAATAAAGCATTATCAGCTAAATACAATCACATATGGGACAAGATCTGCTCCATATTTAGCCACCTAATGTTTGCAGAAAATTGCAAAAGAAAATGCATTACAATATCCTCTTGGTGCTCAGTTTCTGCAGGACAATTTTTATGTAGATGACGGAATCGGTGGGTCAGACAGCTTAACCACGACGATGGAAATCCAACAGCAACTGATACACATCTTAAAACAACGTGGTCTTAACCTAAGAAAATGGTGCGCCAATCACTCACAATTACTGCAAAATGTTAGCAGGGAGGAACAAGAAGTTGACATAGACTTTGACAATGACATCAAGCAAACTATTAAAACGTTGGGGTTAACATGAATGCCTAAGATGGATCGATTCTGCGTAAAGGTATGCCTAGGAAGCTGCAGTCTTGCAACTAAACGCTCAGTCAGCGCCGATCTTGCAAGGCTATTCGATCCGTTGGGGATACTAGCACCAATTGTAGTCATGGCAAAAATGTTTATTCAAGATCTCTGGCAACTGAAGCTGACATGGGATGAAGCATTACCAGCCGATTTGAATGAGAGATGGACAACATTTCGAAATGATTTGCAAAAATTGGACAACTTGCAAGTTTCACGGCACGTGTTTGAAGGATACATCCCAGCAAAAATTCAAATTCATGTCTTCTCCGACGCATCAGAAAAGGCATATGGTGCTGCGATTTACATTAGATACGAGCTGGATGACGAGTACAAGTGAGGCTGCTCTGTGCAAAATCTCGTGTGGCACCCTTGAAACGGCAAACTATTCCTCGGCTTGAGCTCTGTGCATCAGTACTGGGTGCTCAACTAACTACAAGGGTCAAATAAGACCTTAAGCTAGACGATGTGGCTACATGCTTTTGGACTGATTCACAAATCGTGTTGGCATGGATTAACTCATCCTCAGCATCATACCAAACATTTGTGGCAAACCGTATAGCTGTTATTCATGAGCACACTACCGCTGAACAATGGCGGCATATAAGCTCAAAAGACAACCCAGCTGACATTCTATCACGAGGACTGCCGCCGGGGAGACTAGAAACCTGCAATATGTGGTTTTATGGGCCAACAATCTTGCTTGGTAAAGAAGACACTTGGCCTTCAAAGTATTCCAAGGCATTATCAGTAATCGACGAAGGTATCAACATGGAACGGAAAGGGGTGACATCAGTCGCTGTTGCAACCACTGGACATGAAGGAAGCGTACTTTATAGCATTCGACACAATGGCTCTTTCAAAACATTACAAAGAGTGACAGGCTACATGCTGAGATTTATCAACCAGGCCAGAAACCAATCGCGGGAGTCAGACATTCCCTTGACCGTACACGAATTGGAAAAAGCGCTTGTGGTAATCGTTCGTACAATGCAGCAATCGGACTTTGAGGAAGAGCTTCAGCACCTTAAAAAATACAACGAAGTACGCAAAAACAGTTCTTTCCGCAGCCTGTCACCGTTTCCGGACAATAATAGTATCATCCGAGTTGGAGGACGTCTACAAGCATCAGAACTTGCATACGATGCCAAACACCCTATGCTAATTCCACATAACAATTCACTCGCCAAATTATTAGTACAAATGATCCATAAAGAAAACCGTCATTGTGGACCTCAAGCGCTCTTAGCTTACACAAGGCAAAGATTTTGGCCTATAAAGGGAAAATTGCTGACACGATCAATTGTGCTCAACTGAGTAAGATGCACCAAGGCTAAGCCAAAACTAATGAGTCAAATTATGGGGAACTTGCCTTCAACAAGAGTAACTCCAGCAAGACCATTCATCAACTCAGGCGTGGACTTCTGCGGGCCATTTTGGGTTCACTTCAAGATAAGGGGAAAGAAACCACAAAAGGCTTATGTAGCGGTATTTTGCTGTTTTGCCACAAAGGCAGTGCATTTGGAATTAGTCAGCGACTTAACGACGGATGTGTTTATTGGTGCCTTAAAACGCTTTATAAGCCGAAGAGGACATTGTCAAAATTTATATTGTGACAACGCAACCAATTTTGTAGGCGCGAAAAACCAGCTTTCTGAACTTACTGACGTTGTTTATGGAAATTCGTCACGAGAATCAATAGTAAAGCAGTGCAGCGGAAAGGGAATAAGATTTCATTTTATACCTCCTAGGAGTCCACATTTTGGCGGTTTATGGGAAGCAGCGGTAAAATCAGCTAAGCATCTACTAATAAGAAGCACCTCGACAGCGTCCTTAACGTATGAAGAATTGGACACGGTAATCATCGAGGTGGAAGGAATCCTAAATTCCAGATCAATCAGCCCAATGTCCGACAATCCTAACGATCTAACAGCTTTAACTCCAGGCCACTTCCTCATAGGAGAACCCCTTAATGCCCAAGTTGATCCAACGTCTAGGCCACAGCAAACAAATTTATTAACAAGATGGAAACTTGTTTCTCACCTCAAACGCGAGTTTTGGAATCGGTGGTCTTGCGAATATTTATCGGACCTTCAGCTGCGAAAGAAGTGGAAGACACAACACAACAACATCAACGTAGGTGACATGGTGATCATCAAAGAAGACAACACACCGGTACTGCAGTGGCCATTAGGAAGAATCATCAATGTATATGAAGGAAACGACGGTGTAGTGAGAGTGGCGGATGTAAAAACTGCTAGTGGCACTTGCAAGAGGCCTATTCATCGGCTTGCACCCTTGCCCAAGGAAACAAATGATACCACAGGACGACAATCAACCAACAAACTGCTTGAGGAAGACAAAATTCCATCAAGGAGGAATAATCCTTCGTTACACCAAGGACTTGCTACACTTCTGATTACCCTACTCATCTTACCATTGGCTTTAGGAGCTGAACTTCAAAATAAGCGATTTGGATCAAGGCTTGGCATTCATTTTGAAGGAATAGGCTCAACTGCCATATCAACCACTGATTGGAACCTAATAATCTACTATGACATGGAAGGATTTTTGGTAGAACTAGCAGCGCTGTCAAATGGCACAAGGGCCCTGCGCCATTTATGTCAAGAAATTACACAAAAAAGCTCATGTTTTTCTCAGGTAGCACATCTTGAGCAGACTGAAAAAGAGTTGCAGTTAGATTACGCAATAGTAAAATCTAATCGGCGTAAACGAGGTGCCATTGATGCAGTTGGAAATATCGCTCATTCTTTGTTTGGAGTACTGGACGCAGAATATGCAGAACAAATGTCCAAAACAATCACACACGTTAAGGAAAATGAACTACATCTGCTGCACCTGATCAGAAATCAAACATCCATTGTGGACTCAACCATCAACATTTTGAAGCAGGATCAAAAAGCGGTCAAGAGGAAGTTCGACATCATTGATCAACAAGTGAGTCAAATATTCCAGAGGATCAGCAACGACACGCATGAGATATACCAAGAAAAATTATTTCGAATCTTTTCCTCGTTATCCATCCAACTCACACTTATGGCAGCCAATTTTCAAAGAATGCAATCTGCATTATTAGCCGTTCTAATAGATACTCATCACGGAAAAATAAGTCCTCTTCTGCTGACGCCCAGTCAATTGCAAGACGAAGTAAACAAAATTAAACTTCATTTATCAGCACCATTGGAACTGCCTGTAAACCAAGAAGATTTACTCCAGCTATATCAACTCATGACGGGAGGGGGAAGGGAGGACTTACAGAAAAGCCTGTTATATTCAGCATCACATTGCCTCTGGTAGAGCATGATCGATATGACTTATTCAATCTGCTACCAATTCCTACTTGGACTAATGGGACTATGATTGAAATAAGTCCGTGTGCTGCAGTTTTGGCAATAAACACAGCTCTTGGTAAATATTTCCCGCTGAGCATCTCCAAATTTCAATCTTGTGGGGATATTAAAAATGGAAATTACATCTGTTCTAAAATTCAAATTCGTTATAGTCACGGTTCATCTAAATGCGCATGTGAAGTAAATTTATTCAACAACAACACCCGGTCAAGTTGTCAACTGCGAAAAACACCAAACGATGTTGCATGGATATCACTACAGCATAAAAATCAATGGATTTATGCCACGTCAGTTTCATCTCGTGCAACCGCAGTATGTGGAAAAGAAATCATTCAGGTGATTCTAAAAGGATCAGGACTGTTATCACTCCAACCAGACTGCATACTCAAACATAATTTTATATCAGTTCAAGCAGATAAGTTGATATCGATGAGTCTTTGCTCGTCCTACACTAGCCTGGGAGAAATTTCCGAAGTAGCTGCAGCAGAACATATAAAGCCTCTTCTTCAATCACGGGATGATGAGAAATACATAACACAAATACAAAACCTCACGTCCTTACAATCATCATTGGCCAATCAACGCATATTAGAACTCCCAAACAAACTTGAAGCACAAAATGCGCACCACATAACGGTTGGGTACACTGCCTTGGTTACAGTTTTGTGCCTTTTGGTGTTTATGCTAGTCAAAAGAAAATTTAAAACAGCCAAACAGGAAACATTGCACGCATCCACGACTGCGACCACATACGGTCAAAATGAAAAACCCACACCTGCGCCTCGACATTCTCAAGAAAGTTTGGACTTTACGATAAACATTTAGGACAGAACCTGCTAAGGAATTCGAGCTACGCTCACCGGGGGGAGGATGTTATTAAATAAGAAAAGTCGACATATTAATATTGCATTGGCTTTATTCAACAGGGTATTAATTTTCGCTTGCATTCTTTTATGCGTAGCGTGCACTTTATGCCTTTCAGTGTTTTCTTATAGCCAAATAATTTGGCATGTGTCAAGTTACATATAAGACATTGTTGATTAATGCACGCAAATGAAAGTAGACGCAAAATGTGGAATATGCTTATGTCAACAAAAACGTGGGAATAAAGCATTTGCATTAATTATGCTTATGTAAAGCAAAACGTGGGAATAAAGCCTTTACAATAATTTTGCTTACTATCCAAAGTTTTTATGCCCTTATTATTTAGCATTTAGTTTGTATAAAAACGTAATCATTAATTCAATAAAGATCACTTGAAAGCAATCAAGCAAACAACAGTGTTCGAACTTGG